GATGAGGATTATTATAGCCATTTTTAGGGGAATGGGAAAGGTGCCAGATGATAGGGAGAGATTGATTGTGTCGGAGAGTAGAGGGGCGAGGAGGTGGAGCTGGTAGGTAAGGATAGGGGTGGTGATGGTGTCAAGGGAGCAGGTGATATGTTTAATGCTGGATATGGTGGTGATGAAAGAGGAGGGGGAGAAAGGTTCGAAGATGTGGAGGGAGGGATGGGTAGGGGTTGGTGGGGAGGGAGTGGCAGTTGGGAGGGTGGAGGCAACTGAACGGACACCGTTGATTTTGGACTCGAGAAAATCCAGCATCTCCTCACATTCAGAGTTTGATGAGAGAATGGACGAGACATGGGAGGGTGGACGGAGGAGCCAGTTGGTGTGGAATAGGAGACTGTGGTTGTCCTTCGACTTGACAATTTGGCAGAGGTGAGGGTGGAGCGGTACGCTTAGATGTGGTCCAGCTAGATCTGTCGGTGGACCATTAGATCAAATTTGAGCTAGGTTTATTCGGCAGCCCTCACCTGACTTTTGAAGGAGCGGAGGTGGCTGGTGTACTAGGGTGAGGGTCGTGAGGCCATTCGGGAGGTGAGGCAGGCAAGGCATCAAGACTGGTGGAGAGCGAGTTATGGAGGAGAGTGAGCAAGGAGGTAGGCCAGGAGAGAAGTTCAGATGATTCCAGGGCAGCGGAGAGGGATTGTGGCAAGATTATTTTCCAAGGGTGGTAGGAGATGGAGGTGGGTTTGGTGGCAGTGGGGAGAGGGATTGAGAAGTTAAAGGAGATGAAAAGGTGATCGGAGATGGCTTTGTCTGTGATTGTGATATCCGTGGGGTATGGTGGGAGGTGTAGCCGAGTGTTGTGGCCTCAGTGAGGGGGAAGGTGTCGCCTAGGGTAATCCAGGTTTCAGTGAGGGCCATAATATCAATATTGTTATCAACAATGATGGTCAGAGCCTTAGTGCAGAGGGAGCGGACATTTTGTAGGCCAGTGTGGAGGGAACAGTTGCCAGGGGAATGTGTGAGACAGGAGGGGGTGATGGAGGGATTGGCAGGGAGGGTGGGAATGAGGATGAGGGAGAGGTTGGCCACCGGGGTCTGGATCCTGCAGTGGTAGTGAGGAATGGGACAGTCAGTGTGGCTGCTGCTGGACAGCCAACATCGAGTACCATGGTGAGCCCGGCAGAGAATTCCCAGGCTGGAAAAGAGGGAGGCCGTGGAACGTTCAAGTCAGGATAGGAGGCGAGGAGGACAGAGCGGGAGAGTTGCAGGGGTGGGAGCATTTTGGGGGAAGGACAGCTCGGGTCAGGGGCAGCAGCCAAGATTTGCATACCAAGACTTGAGGCAGGTGGTTAGCGGGGCATAGTCAGCCCACAGACATGGAGACTGTGGGGGCTAGAGACAGCGCAAAGGGGGGAGATTGGGAAGGGCACTCATTATGTTGGGGCATAATATAAAATGTGTTTTGGGGCCTAGTGGCAGAAGGCATGGCCACCGATGGTAAAGTAGAGGGGACGAACAGGAGGCCAGAGAACAGCTGATTGATGGCAGCGGTTGGTGGAGTGGAGGGTAAGCAGATCAGATAGAAGGGAGGTGCGAGGGCATAAAGGGATTTGAAAATGAGGATGTTGAAATTGACGGTTTGGTAATTGGGAGCCAGTGGAGCCTGGCAAGGTCAAGCCTGGTATGTTGGGGGAACAGGGTTTTGTTTATACATTTTTGTGAATAGCATTCTTAAAATAACACATTCAAGATTTAATTATTAGTTATTAAAGATCTTTTAATAAGAAGTGTAAAATAGTAATGAGTTATGTGAAAATTGTGAACATAGTATTTTGTTTTGTGGAATTGTCTTAAAACCGAGGGACCAAATGACTTTATCTGCCAAAGTCAATTCCCAAACATATCTGATGGTCAATTCCCAAACATATCAAGGTTCACAATATTTATTTTGGTCACTGGTACATGTGGAAACCCATCACCATATTTATGAACGTCTAAACCACACAGAGTTCTGGCATGCCACCTACACATGGAAATTCCCGTAGCTAGAATGTAATGTGCAGTATTTCCCCACAGAGATGTAACTTGCTCATCTAATTCGAGAAAGTTTGTATACAACAATGTCCTTACTGACTGGAAGAGTACCGTCTTCACCAACAAAAACAGCAGTGTCCTCATTTACGATGTAGATGAATAGATCAGTGCTGGTTGTCATTTCATCTCTACTGATAATATCTTGAGACATCATGTTAAGTGTGACATTGTTCATTGTGCTGTCATGTCCATTATGGCACTGTATCCACCGTGACATCATGTATTATGTATATAGATTATTTTGTGACTCACATCTTTAAAACAACACATTTGGAAGACTTGCAAGAGCCTCACTTAAGCAGCGAGCCCAGCAGCGTGAGGAGGGAACTGAGTGAGGTGGAACAGAGTGAGAATTCTGTTAAGGAATTTGGTGAGAGTGGGAATTCGGTGCAGAGGGGGAAAGAGGTGCTTAATTATAAAATATATAATAGTTATATTAAAATAATATAAAATATGTCTGGGAATATGGCAGGGCAGCTGAGACCAGTTGCATGTACAATGTGGGAACTCCAGGATGCTTTGTACGCTCAGGGTTACTGAGCTCGAGGAGAGGCTGGTGTCACTACATAGCATACGGAAGGTTGAAGAGTTCATGGATCGAACGTTTCAGGAGGTGGTCACCCTACAGCCACAGAGGGTTCAAGAGAGACTGAGTGGGTGACCACCCGGCCTGGTAAGAATAGGGGACGGGCAGTGCAGAAATCCCCTAAGAGTGTGACGCTCACAAACCGGTTCTCTGTACTGAATACTGGTCAATGTAATTGTCATTGGGGACACAATGGTGAAAGGAGTAAACAGACATTTCTGCAACCAAAAACATGACTCTCGCATGGTATGTTGCCTCCCTGGTGCCAGGGTTGAATACATCATGGAACGTGTGGAAAATGTTCTACAGGAGGAATGGGAACATCCAAAAGTCGTGGTCCATGTTGGGATCCATGACATAAGGAAAAAATGGCTGAGATACTACAGGGTACTATCAGAAGCTAGGGAAAAAATCTAAAGAGTAGCATCTCAAAGGTGGTGATTTCTGGATTACTCCCAGTGCCTCATGCAAGTGAATATCGAAACAGGAGATCAAACACATGAATGCATGGCTGGAGAAATGGTGCAAAAAGGAGGACTTCAGATTCCTGGATCATTGGGACCAGTTCTGGGGCAGGTGGGACCTGTACAAGGTGGATGAATTACACCTGAACCGGGCTGGGACCAATGTCCTCACAGGGAGGTTAACTAATGCTGTGGGGAAGGGTCTAAACTAATTTCGAGGGGGAAAGGGAATCAGGATGTAGCATTGAAGAGGACAAACAAGTTATATAGAGATGAATAGTAATATAATCAGGAGTAATCCAGAAAAAGGAGGGATTAGACAGGGGAGAAATGCAGAACAGACTGAGTTGGTTTTGGAGTGCATGTAAATGGATGGAGTGTATCAAATAAGGTTGGTGAGCTGCAGGCTCAAGTTGCCACGTGGAGTTATGATGTAGTGGCAATAACGGAGACCTGGCTCAAACAAGGGCAGGAATGGGAGCTAAATATTCCTGGCAAGAATGTATTCATGAGGGATAGGGAAGGAAAAAAAGGAAGAGGGGGCTGTGTGTGGCAATATTTGATTAAAGATATGGTTACGGTCCTGGAAAGGGATGATGTGCTAGAGTGTCCAAAAACAGAATCTATTTGGTAAGAGTGAAGGAGCAGTTACTTTGTTAGGTGTACACTACAGACCACCAAATAGTGGTAAGGAGATAGTGAGCAAATCTGCAAGCAGATTTCAGAAAGATGCAAAACCAACAGAGTAGTAATAATAGGGAACTTCAATTATCCTAACATAGGCTGGCAAAATAACAGTGTAAAGGCAAGGAGAGGAAGGAATCCTAAAACGTATTCAGAGGGCAGAGAAATTGGATAATAATAACCCGAGAGGAGATACTAAAAACGTTGACGGTGTTCAAAGTAGAAGTCACCTGGTCCAGACGGGATGCATCCTAGGTTACTGAGGGAAGTAAGGATGGAAATAACAGAGACTCTGACCACAATCTTTCAATCCTCCTTGGTCACCGGGGTTGTGCCAGAGGACTGGAGGATTGCAAATGTTACTCCCCTGTACAAAAAGGGGCAGAAGGGTAAACCCAGGAACTACAGGCCAGTCAGCCTAACATCAGTAGTGGGAAAATTTCTAGAGACTATGATGTGGGACAAAGTAAATTTTCACTTAGAAAGATATGGGTTATTAAAAGACAGGCAACATGGATTTGAAATTGTGTCAAACAAACCTGAGAGTTTTTTGATGAAGTAACGGAGAGGGTGGATGAAGGTGGTGCATTTGATGTAGTTTATATGGATTTTCAGAAGGCGTTTGATAAAGTCCCACATAAGAGACTTATAAGCAAAATAGAAGACCATGGTATCAAAGGGACAGTGACAGCATGGATACAGAACTAGCTGGGAGACAGAAAGTAGAGGGTGGTGGTGAACAGTTGTTTTTCTGACTGGAGGGAAGTGTGCAGTAGTGTCTGCTGGGGGTCAGTAATTGCTGTTTTTGATCTATATAAATGACCTGGACTTGGGTATATGGAGCACAATTTCCAAGTTTGCAGATGATACTAAGCTAGGAAATGCCGTAAACAGTGAGGATAGTAGCAGACTGCAAATGGATATAGACAGACTGGTAAAAATGGGCAGACATGTGGCAGATGAAGTTTAATGTGGAGAAATGATGCAATTTGGGAGGAAGAATGAGAGGTAATATAAACTGGCAATGTGGCGGAGGTGAAGGAAAGTGTTCAGGTACCGGATGTGAGGTAGGTGTTTCCTCATCAGCTATCTGGTGGACATCTACCTTCAAGATATGGGGAAACATTGTGCCTGTGTCAGCTCAAAAGATGGGCCGAATGGCTTCTTTCTATGCTGCAATACTCTATGATTCTATTATATGATTCAGCACATTTATATTGTGTGCTCTTCTCAGTGATTTTGGAGGATCCTTGATTCAGTGAAATTATTTCCACATCCGGGCCATTTATACGGTCTCTCTCCTTTTGTGTGATCGCTGGTGTCTCTTGAGATTCCCCGAATATGTAAATCGCTTTCCACATTCAGTACATTTATATGGTCTCTCTCCTGTGTGTGATCGCTGATGACTCTGGAGATATCCTGATGTTGGGAAACTCTTTCCGCATTCAACACATCTATATGGTCTCTCTCCTGTGTGTGAGCGTTGGTGTGTCTGGAGGTTCCATGAACTTGTGAAACTCTTTTCACATTCAGCACATTTATATGGTTTCTCTCCTGTGTGTGATCGCTGGTGTCTCTGGAGGGCCCCTGACTGTGTAAAACTCTTTCCACATTCGGCACATTTATAGGGTCTCTCTCCTGTGTGTGATCGCTGGTGTATCTTGAGTTCCCATGATGTTGTGAAACTCTCTCCACATTCAATGCATTTGAATGGTCTCTCTCCTCTGTGTAATCGCTGATGTGTCTGGAAGTTCGCTGAACTTGTGAAACTCTTTCCACATTCAACACATCTGTACGGTCTCTCTCCTGTGTGTGATCGCTGGTGAATCTGGAAGTGACCTGATTGAGTGAAACTCTTTCCACATTCGGCACATTTATACGGTCTGTCTCCTGTGTGTGATCCCTGGTGTCTCTGTAGGTGCCCAGCTTGCTTGAAACTCTTTCCACATTCTGCACATTTATACGGTCTCTCTCCCGAGTGTGATCGCTGGTGAACTTTGAGCTCCCCTGCTGTTGTGAAATTCTTTCTACATTTGGCACATTTATACGGTTTCTCCCCTGTGTGTGATCGCTGGTGTCTCTGGAGATTCCCTGAACTTGTGAAACGCTTTCCACATTCAGCACATTTATACAGTCTCTCCCCAGAGATCGATCGCTGGCGACCCTGCAGAGATCCCCTTTGTGTAAACTCCTTTTCTCCAACTGTATATGTGATAAATCCCTGACTTTCTCTCTGCTGTGAAGAAACAATTATGTTACAAGCTGATTGTGTTGCTGTTGTATCTTGACAGAGTTCAGGATGTCTTCTGTGGTGTTTCTGAAGGAACTCGGCTTGAGTAAATACAATGTTACAGTGAGGGCAAGGGTGAGCCTCAGAATCATCCACTTTGGGTGCTGATGGGAGAAATGAAAGAGCTATATCTTCAACATTTCAGAATTTTCTTTAGGAATTGACAAATTTTGACTTAATCCTTGCATTTGTATAGCACTTGATCAAGTCAAAACACTTTAAAATGTTTTATAGTAATTAATTGTAGTGCCAACAACCACATTTTGTGCTTATAAGGAACCCTTCATGCAGGGTAGCGTCTCAGAGCACTTAATAATTGTTGGAGGTCCCGTCTTATGGATGAGATGTTAAACCGAGCTCCCCATCTGTGCCTGATTAGGTGGATGTAAAAGATCCCATGATTCTATTCCAAAAGAGAACAACAACAAAATTACTTTTGTACAGCGCCTTTCCAGAGTTTTTCTCTCTCACCCACAGTGTCCTGGCTTATAATATCCCAGATAAAATTGGTCATTTTCCTCATGGCACTTTGTGGGACAATGCCATGCAGAAATTGATTGCCGAATTCACCTACAAATAGACAGTCACTACACTTGACTCTAAAATCTTGCAAAGCACTTTGAGACGTCTTGATGACCATGTCAAATGAAAGTTATTTTTTCCAATACTCCTGTAGGATCTTTAACAACTGTCTGAATTTACACCGAGGGACTTTAGCTTAGCTTCCATGTCTATAATAATACAGCACTTTCCCTCCGCCCCCTTCCAGTGGGTCGCAAGACGTCTCACAGACGTGATAATCATAGATTCATAGAATTATACAGCACAGAAGGAGGTCATTCGGTCCATCACGTCTCTTTGAAAAGAGCGATCCAAATCAATCCCACTCCCCTGCTCTCTTCCCATAGCCCTGCAAACTTGTCCTCCCCAAATAATTATCTACTTCTCTCTTAAAACTTGCTATCAACTCACTCGCTGTGTGAAAACATATCTCCTCACCTCCCCTCTGTTACTTTTAGCAACTATTTTAAATTGGTGTTCTCAGGTTACCAACCAACCCGTCCGTGGAAATAGTTTCTCCTTGTTCACCCTATCGAATCCCCTCATAATTTTGAAAACATTTCTATTAAGTCTCCTCTCTGCTCCAAGGAGAATAATCCCGGCTTCTCCAGCATCTTCTGATAACTGAAGTGCCTCATTCCTGGTACCATCCTGGTAAATCTTCTTTGCACCCTCTCCAATGACTTGACTTGACATCCTTCCTAAAGTGTGGTGCCTGGAATCGAACACAGTCTCTCACTGAGGCCTCGTGTTTTACAAAGGTTCATCATAATTTCCTGACTTTTGTATTCTATGCCCTTATTTATAAAGCCTAGCAGCTCATATACTTTTTTTAACAGCTTTATCTGCCTGTCCGGCCATCTTCAACAATTTGCTTATATGAACCCCCGGGTCTCTCTGTTCCTTCACCCCCTTTAAGATTGTACCATCAGCTTATATTGCCTCTCCTCATTCTTCCTCCCAAAATGCATCATTTTACCAGACTGTCTATGTCCACTTGCAGTCTTCTACTGTCCTCCTCACTGTTTACTACTTTTCCTAGCTTAGTATCATCTGCAAACCTGGAAATTGTACTGCCTATACCCAAGTCCAGGTCATTTATATAATTTATGTATATAGATCAAAAACAATACTGACCCTTGGGAGACACCAATGCACACTCAATGCACACAGTCAGAAAAACAACCATTCACCACCACTCACTGCTTTCTGTCTCCCAGCCCGTTCTGTATCCATGCTGCCACTGTCCCTTTAATACTGTGGGCTTCTATTTTGCTTACAAGTTTCTTATGTGGCACTTTATCAAACTCCTTCTGAAAATCCTTATAAACTACATCAATTGTATTACCTTCATCCACCCTCTCCATTACTTCATCAAAAATCTCTATCAAGCGCTATACTAAATGTAAGGACTATTATTAACTGGGTTGTGAATAGACAGGACTGTGAGCTCAAAGTCCTAACATGAGTCTTGAACCCATATCCCAGAGGTGAAGATGTAGCTCACCTGAGCCAGATGAACATTTGGAACTTTGAAAATGTCCATGTTGAGGAGTCACAGGCTCTTCTCATGAAAGTGACAAACATAAAGTAACCTCTCTCGATGAGGTGAAACTTACAATGTGTGATCATAACCTCATGAGAAACCTGATAACAATAATGAATCCTTGGGTTCAATATAACACCAATGAGGTGAAACTTCTCAAAGCTCTTTACAGGTATTGGAGGGATGCTTCCTACTTACCTAATTCCAAAGAGTGTGTATTGGGGGACAACTGCCAGAACCAGCTAAAACCACGTAGCAGTAAAACAATTGGTAGTAGTGTCTGGCAACCACTCCTGCTGTTTGTCCACCTAGGACCACCTTCCCTGCTGGGGCTTCGGCTTGCAGGGTTAACAGGAGCTGAGTGGGAAGAATCTGATTCACTTTCGTCTGACTCGCTCCTTCCTCTGTGACCGTGCTTCTGGTCACATTTCCCTCCCAACCCCTCTTGGCTCCTACCTCCAGCTCAGGTGCCAAGCCACGACAGTCATGCCACCTTGGGACATCCTCTTAACGAAAGATGCTGTATCAATGTAAATCTGTATTGTATTGTGAATTCTGTGAGAGACGTTTCAATGACGTGACAAGGCACTGTATCAAATGCCAGGATTATTATCAAACTCACTTTTTGAATAAAACATAAATGACCTGGGATGTGTCACGGGCATGAAGGGATGTAACGTCCACCTGAATGGGCACAGACAATGTCGCGTTCCCTCCCCCCAGCAAGCACTGCAGTGTCAGTCTAGACTCATTGTCCGTGATGTGGGGGTTCGAGCCCACAACCTTCTGACTCGGAGGCCAGAGGGCAACCAACTGAGCCAGGCTGACATCTACCCGATTTTGCACTGGAGCATTTTATGCTGAGAAACTCAGATTGATTTCTCACATACACAGGTAATCATCGTCAGGGAGATCCCTTTCCTCAGTATAAGTTATTCTCTCCCTCTTTCTCAATCCGTATCTGCTGCTCCCAACCTCTCCTCCACTCGCTTGGTTGTCTTTGAAGTTCAAACCATTTCCGGTTCGGCATCCTGTGAAGTAAATTAAAAGAAGAGCAGGATTGAGAATCATAGTGTACACCGAGTCCTAACCCTCGGCCATTATTCCACAATTTAAGAAGGTGCTAAATTTATGGGAAATTCAATTCAGTGTAAACTGAACTCACAGCCCAGACTGACATTCCAGTGCCAGCACTGAGGGAAAGCACCGCATTGTCCTTTAAATTAGAAGTTAAATCTCACTCACTGTCTGTGGCTGATCTGCTGGGGGTTAAATATCTTCCACAGCACCATTCGAAAAGAGAAGGGAATTTCTCGTTCTGGTGATCTCTCTTTTTGCCCCAAAACAAAATTAGTCATTCACTCCATGGCTGTTTGTGGCACATTGCTGTGTGTATATTGCTGCTGCATTCGCCCACAAAATACATAGTCACACCACTTTACAGTGTATCCTGTAAAGCATTTTGAGATGCATCAGCTACTTGATATGATGTTGTTATCAAATGGAACAATTATTATTAACTGTGGGAAAATCTATTTTAAATCTTTCAGAATCATTGACGGTAAGGGGAGGGCAAAAGGTCTCACAAGGCTTACCAAACACGAGAGTGTATAAGGGATTCCTTCACTCACAGAGCATCAATAAGAGCAACATTGAGGGATAGAATCGGAAAGTGGGATTAATGATAAAAAAGTAAAACAGAGTCAACGATGGCAAAGATACAATGGGACAAACTGCCTCCTGTGCTCAATCTTTCAGTGTACCTTTTTGCAGGAAGAATACCTTTCTTAGGTGTTTTGAGATCTTCATCGTCAACAACTGAGACTCCTCTTTTGACCAGACTATTCTCTTCATTTGCTGAACCCTTGGCTTCAGTCACCTCTCTTGTGTGGTCACCTCCATCCTCAGCTGATCCTGCCGGGATGTATGAGATTTCCTTTTTGCTCTAAAATACAGAATGTAAGAACATTATAAGCATGTGTCAGTCTGGCTCACTCTCACCTGTGTCATAAGGTTGGGGTTCAAACTCCACATCAGGATGTGGAATCCATATAGTCTAAGCTGACACTTCAATGCAGTGCTGGAGGTGAGTTGCATTGTTGGAGGTGCCACCCTTCAGATGAGGCCCCATTTACTGTCCAGGTGGAGTTCTCCTCCCGATATGAAAGGCAAATCTACTAGGGTGATAGATTACTGCTATCAGAAAAGACTGGGTAGGTTAAGCCTTTCTTTGCTAGAAAAGAGGCGTGCAAGAGGGTACCCAACAGTTTAAAATTGTAAAATGGTTTGATAACGTTAGCATAAATAGTCTGTTACTACTTGTTGGGGAGTCCGTAACCAGGGACACAAGTATAAGATAGCGACTAGAGGATCTATATGATAATTTAGAAGGAACATATTCACATAGAGGGTAGTGAGCATGTGAATTCACTGCCAGAAGCAGTAGTTGAAACAAATCGTATAGATGCATTTTAGAGGAAGCAAGGTAGAAAAGAAGAAGGAAGGAATATGGAGTGGATGGAGATTGGAGCAGGTGGACTACAATCACCAGGATGGACTAGCTGGGCCGAATGGTCTGTTTCTGTGCTGGAAATCAATCTAAAGTTTATTTAATATTTAGCTAGTTACCTCCTTGCTTTTTTTCCTTGCTGGCTCCCTCTTCCTGGCTTCCATCCTGAACGCAGGCTTGACGTATTTCACTTCTGAGAAGTAGACAAGAAAGGGCAGCTCATATCAATGGCAAGGTTCTCACACACGCTCCCTCAGACACACTCACATTCCCTCACATACGCACTCACTCTCTCACACATGCACTCTCTCTCACACGCACTCTCTCTCACACATGCACTCGCTCTCACACGCACACTCTTTCACACACTCTCACACACACTTACTCACACATTCTCACACACGCGCACAGTCCCTCACACACTCGCTCTCTCACATAAGCAGTCGCTATCTCACTCGTGCTCACATGCACACACTTGCACTCACATGCACGAACTCACGCTCACACACGCACTCGCGCTCACACACACACACTCGCGCTCACACACACGCACTCGCGCTCACACACACGCGGTCGCTCACTCGCACACACGCGCACTCGCATGCACGTGCACTCACACGCACGCACATGCATTCGCACTCACACACAATCACTCTCTCACACACACGCGGTCGTTCATTCGCACATACGCGCACGCGCGTGCACTCACCCACACACACACCCTGCCCACGAGCCCACACACACTTGCCCACACACACACACACACCCGCCCACCCACACTCTCGCCCGCGCACACACACACTCGCCCACTCACACTCGCGCCTACCCACACTCGACAACACTCTCGCCCACCCACAAAAACACACATAATAATAATATAATAATAATAATCCTTGCATTTGATATAGCGCTTTTCACGTCGGGAGGACGTCCCAAAGCGCTTCACAGAACACACTGTGAAGTGAATTGATTGTACATTTGTGGGCGAACGCGGCAGCCAATTGCACACAGCAATGTCCCACAAACAGTCGTAGATTGAAAATGACCAATTTATTATTGTTTTTGGTTTTGGAGGGATTATTATTAGGCTCTGTGTGGAGTAAGGAAACTTGCCCAAGGTTTCGCCCTCTGCCTGGAATTGAACTCAGGTCTCTCGCTTGCAAAGCGAGTGCTCTAACCACTGAGCTACAGGACTCCACATACACCGCCCACGCACTCTCGCCCGCCCACATACACTCTCGCCCGCCCACATACTCTCGCCCGCCCACACACACACTCGGCCGCCCACCCACACTCTCAGCCGCCCACCCACACTCTCGGCTGTACACCCACACTCTCACCCACCCACACACACACTCTCGCTCACCTACACACACACTCTCGCCCGCGAACACACACTCACTCTCACCCACCCGCCCACACACTCGCCCGCCCACACACTCGCCCGCCCACCCACACTCTCGCCCGCACACCCACACCAACACACACACATTCTCGCCCACCCACACTCTCGCCCACCCACACACTCTCGCCGGCCCACCCATACCCGCGCCCAGCCATACACACACCAACTCACCCACCCACGAACACACACACCGCCCGCGAGAGCCCACCCACTCTCGCTTGCCCACACACACTCTTGCCCGCCTACCCACACTCTCGCCCGCCCGCCCACACACTCTCGCTCGCCCGCCCACACTCTCGCCTGCCCACACACACACACGTGCCCACCCACACAAACACTCGCCTATCCACATTCACCCACACTATCGCCCACCCACCCTCACGCCCGCCCACCTTTTCACCCACACTCTCGCCCGCCCACACACACTCTCGGCCGCCCACCCACACTCTCAGCCTCCCACCCATACTCTCAGCCGCCCACCCACACTCTCGGCCGTACACCCACACTTTCGCCCGCCCACACACTCTCGCCCGCCCGCACTCTCACCCGCACACTCGCCTGCCAACCCACCCACACACACTAACTGTTACAGACACACACTCTCACACACTCACTCTCACACACACTCACATCCCCTCACACACGCACGCGCTCTCACAGACTCAATCGCTCTCACACACGCGCCCACACACACTCTCGCCCGCCCGCCCACACACTCTCGCTTGCCCGCCCACACACTCTCGCCCGCACACAATCTCGTCCACCGACCCAAACACACACAGACTCTCGCCCGCCCACCCACACTCTTGCCAGCCAACCCACGCTCTCACCCGCCCACCCACACACTCTCGCCTGCCCGCCCACACACTCGCCCGCCCACACACTCGCCCACCCACTGACACTCGTGCCCGCCCACCCACTCTCGCCCGCCCACCCACACTCTCGCCCGCCCACCCACACTCTCGCCCGCCCACCCACGCTCTCGCCCGCCCGCTCACACTCTCGCCCGCCCGCACTCTTGCCCGCCCACCCACACACTCTCGCCCGCCCACACTCTCGCCCAACCTCACACACACACATGCCCACCCACACAAACACTCGCCTACCCACATTCGCCCACACGTTCGCCCGCCCACCCACACTCTCGCCCGCCCACCCACACCCACACACACACTCGCCCACCCACACACAAACTCTCGCCTGCCCACACACACACACGCTCGCCCGCGAACACACACACCGTCGCCCACCCGCCCACACTCTCGCCCGCCCGCCTACACCAACACGCACACACTTTCGCCCGCCCACCGACCCTTTCGCCCGCCCACCCACCCTCTCGCCCGCCCACCCACCCTCTCGCCCGCCCGCCCACCCTCTCGCCCGCCCGCCCACACACTCTCGCCCGCCCGCTCACACACTCTCGCCCGCCCGCCCAGACTCACACGCTCACACATGCGCACTCACACATGCACTCTCACACACGCGGACATGCTCTCACACAGACTCAATCGCTCTCACACGCGCCCACACACACTCTCACCCGCCCGCACTCTCTCTCGACCGCCCACATGCGCACCCATCCACACTCTCGCCCGCCCACCCACACTCCTGCCCACCCACCCACACTCTCGCCCACCCACACACCCTCTCCCCTGCCCACCCACACCAACACACACACTCGCCCACCCACACACATATACTCGCCCACCCACACACACACAAACTCTCGCCCGCCCACACACACACACACACTCACCCACGAACACACACACCCGCCCGCCCGCCCACATTCTCGTCCGCCCGCCCACACTCTCGCCCGCCCGCCCACACCAACATGCACACACTCTTGCCTGCCCACACATTCTCGCCTGCCGGCCCACACACTATCGCCTGCCAGCCCGCACACTCTCGCCCGCCAACCAACCCACACACACTAACTGTTACAGACACTCACTCTCACACACTCACTCTCATACACACTCACATTCCCTCACACACGCACTTGCTCTCTCACGCGCTCTCACACACGCGGACACGCTCTCACATAGACTCAATCGCTCTCACACATGCACCCACACACACTCTTGCCCGCTCTCTCTCTCGACCGCCCGCATGCGCGCCCGCCCACACTCTCGCCCGCACACACACACTCTCGCACGCACACACACACTCCCGCCCGCACACACACTCCCGCCCGCACACACACTCCCGCCCGCACACACACACACTCCCTCCCTCCCGCCCGCCCGCTCACACACACTCCCTCCCGCCCGCACACACACACTCCCTCCCGCCCACACACACACTCCCTCCTACCCGCACACACACACACACTCACTCACTCCCGCCCGCACACGCACACACACACACACACACAGCCGCCCGCCCGCCCGCTCACACACACTCACTACCGCCGGCACACACACACTCCCTCCGGCACACACACACTCCCTCCCGCACAAACACACTCCCTCCCGCACAAACACACTTCCTCCTACCCGCACACACACTCCCTCCCGCACACACACACTCACTCACTCCCGCCCGCACACACACACTCCCTCCCGCACACACAGACACACACTCCCTCCCGCACACACACACTCACTCACTCCCGCCTGCACACACACACACACACACTCCCTCCCGCCCGCACACACACACTCCCTCCCGCACACGCACACACACACACACTCCCTCCCTCCCGCCCGCACACACACACACACAGCTACACACACACACACACACTCCCTCTCGCCCGCACACACACACACTCATATCCCACCCCGGGCTGATGGGCTCCGGGGTCGCCTCTCCCTCCGCCCTCACCCATTAACGCTGCACTAATTGGTCAACTCTCCTCCTCCTGATTGACCGCAGCCACATCAATCACTTAAACCCCACACCCCACAGGGCGTCAGCCCACTACTCACATGTCGCCACTGGTCGGTATCACCCCCCATACACCCCCCAAACACACACCCACCTAAACCCCCCATACACACACCCCCATACACCCCCCATACACACACCCCCATACACACACCCCCATACACCCCCCATACACACACCCCCATTCACCCCCCATACACACACCCCCAAACACACCCCATACACACACACCCATACACCCCCCATACACACATCCCCATACACCCCCCATACACACAACCCCATACACACACCCCCATACACACACCCCAAACACCCCCCATACACACACCCGCATACACCCTCAAACACCCCCCATACACACACACCCAAACACCCCCCATACACACACCCCCAAACACCCCCCATACACACACCCCCATACACCCCCCCAAACAACCCCCATACAAACACCCCCATACACAACCCCCCAAACACATACCCCCATACACACACACACCCCCATATATCCCCCATACACACACCCCCATCACCCCCACACACACACCCCAAACACCCCCCATACACACACCCCCAAACACCCCCCATAAACACACCCCCAAACACCCCCCATACACACACCCCAAACACCCCCCATACACACACCGCCAAACACCGCCCATACAAACACCCCCAAACAACCCCCATACACACACCCCCAAACACACCCCCAAACACACACCCCCAAACACACACACCCCCAAACACACACACCCCCAAACACACACACCCATACACCCCCCATACACACACCCCATACACACACCCCCAAACACCCCCCATACACACGCCCCCCCAAACACCCCCCATACACACCCCCATCACGCCAACACACACATCCACCATACACACACCCC